CTCTACACCTTGTTATACACAATACTACAGCTGATGTCTAACATGTGTCTCATACACTTTACTTTCCTCTTCACAGTTTACAATTTTTCCACGTCCGGTGTCACAGTTAAACATGAGATCATTTTCATAAAACCATAAAGCCTGGTTACATTGAGATTTTCTGAGTTCCTTGCTGTGACCTGCTTAATAATAATTTCCAGCCGTTTTCCCTACGACAGAAGTTAATTTAACTTGTCTGTAGTTTCCTGTTATCTGTTTCCTTCCTTTTTTGAATAGAGTCATGTTTGCCATTTTTCAATCTGAAGGGATCTTTACAGAATCTAGGGAATTTTAGAAAATTAGAGCCAATGGATCTGATATCTCAGCAGCCAGCTCCTTTATAAGACCACACGATGAACTCCATCACAACCTGGGGACTGGTCAGCTTTTAGTTCTAATATTATTTTTGTGTATTTTATTAATAATTCTTTGTCCCTGGTGACGGAAACTGTTTTAAGTTCCTTCCTCCCTTTCAATCTTTGATACACAATTATTTATAGTATGTTAATTATGTTCTGTCTAATAAACACATGCAAAATATCTGTTCAGTTCATTTGTCACCTCCATTTTTTTTATCATTAATTCTCCAAATTATCTTTCTCGCAAGGACCAAGGCTCCCTTCACCAGATCTTTTCCTTTTTAAATACCTGTAGAAACTCTTACTATCTATCTTTATATTTCTAACTACTTTTCTCTTGTAATCTAATTTCTCCCTCCCAATTAACCTTTTAGTGATTCTTTGTTCTTTCTTGTAGTCTGCCAATTTTCTGACCTGCCACTCACCTCTGCTGAAATGTGTGCTTTTTCTTTCAATTTGATACTATCTTTAACTTCCTTAATTAGCCACGAATGGAACATCCTTCCATTCAAGTCTTTCTCTCTCACTCAAAAGTATCCTTTGTTAAGTATTTTGAAATATCTTCTTAAATGTCTGCCACTGCAGCCCTGCCAACTTGTTCCTTAACCTAATTTTGCCAATTTACTTTAGCCAGCTCTCATAATTGTCCTCAAAATTTACTTGATTTAACTTTTTATTATTCTGTTCTTAGAGCCTTCTTTTCTGAACCTGAATGTGAAATTTGATCTTACTATGACCATTGCTACCCAGGGATGCCTTTACCATGAGATCATTCATTAATCCTGCTTCATTGCACAATACCAGATCTATCACAGCCTGCTCCCTGGTTGGCTTGATAATATGCTGCTCCAAGAAACTGTTCCAAAAACATCCATTAAACTCACCGAGTCTTGCAGCATCTGAGAACAGAAATCAGAGTTAACGTTTCGGATCCGGTGACCCTTCCTCAGAACCTAAAATGTTAACTCTGATTTCCCTTCACAGATGCTGCCAGACCTGCTGAGCTTCTTCAGCAACTTCTGTTTTTGTTCCTGATTCACAGCATCCGCATTTCTTTTGCTTTTCATTAAACTCATCATTGAGGCAACCTTTGCCAATCTGATGTGTCCGATTTTCTTCTGGATTGAGAATCACCCATGACTTTCCTCGTAGTTTTCTCACAAACTCCCATTATTTCATTCCATATATCTTATCCTACAGCATGGTTACTGTTAGGGGACTTACAAACCACTTCTATAAGTGACTTCTTGCCTTTACTTCTCGACTGAAACTGATTCGAGATCTTGATCTTTGGAACCATGATATAGTGTGATCCATAATTCGCAGAGCCACCTCTCCACATTTTCCGAGCTAACAGCCTTTGTAAATGTCATGGATCCTTGAATTTTCAAGTCCCAGCTTATGCCATCTTTTAGCCATGTTCCTGTAATGGCTATCAGATCATATTATTTATTTGTAATGTCAGTTTGTTTGCTTTATGAATGCTAGGTGCACTCCGATTTAAAGCCTTCAGTAGTGTCTTTTTATGAATTTTGTGACCAGTGGTCTTGCCTGTTGGCACACTCCTAGATTTGTCCACTCTTCTGGCTACACTCTGATTATCATTTCCTATACTGCTACCTTACTCTCTTGTGTATTGTTGCTACATGATCTTTTAATAGGCATCTGCTGAGGACACCTAAACAAAAAAAAGGGCCATACAAATTTAGTCGGACCAAAATAAAAATGTGTGCAAGTGAGGTATTTTCAACACTGACATGATGATGGGAAGATAGTGGGTATTCGACTCTCTGCCTTCCCTCATCGTCTTATGAGGTTCTGTTCAATCTGCCCGAGAGAGCCAATGAAATCTGTTCTGTGGTTGCTGTGATCTTCTGCAATAGGTCATTGATAATAATTCAAAGTTAAGCGTTTAACTGTTTAGAAAGTTGTCTTCCCTTTACATTTTCAAGACTGAAAATTAAGCTTTTGGTGAGTGTTTAGGGTTCTTCTGGAACTTAGAACACTTTTTGTGAAATAATTTATTTGCAGCTGTCATGGGTGGGAGTACATCAGTGAATTCTTTGTTGTGTTCAAAATTATAGTCAGCTGACATGTAATTTATGAGAAGATATTTCTTATGATTGAAGTGTCGTGGAACATTTTTCTAAAATGCCACGTTTTACTCAAAGTCAGGAGAATCTTTCTTTATTTTGTGGCCAAATACTGCCTACTCCAAAGGATAGAGGGCCAGTAGTGAGCTGAGGACATTAAACATATGCAGAGCTCCTTTGGAAAGCACAGATGTGAGACTGCTTATGGCTCTGGAATTTCTCTTAAAGACCACCTGTTTAAAGTTTCCATCCAGTGACATATGAAACCACTTAGATTGACGCAAGACTGACTGAACTTTATTCTTAAATTAATTGCCTGACAAGTCTCGCTGTGCAACGAGGGATATTCTAGGCCATTACCAGATCAGTATGCCAAATTATGATGAATACATTTTGGAATCTTTTGCATTTCTGAACATTTACATTTTGTTTAGTTTTAGGATAGCACAGTGATAAAACTTTGTGTTCAATGTGATTATATTTAAACAGAATGTAGTTTACAATCTATGTGTGACAGGACCACCATGCTAGCGCAAAAAAGAAGATAATTACATGTGATTTGGGAGAAAATGATTCAGCAATGACTGTACTAAAGGTGTCATAATGCAACCGTGTGCTATAATTGATAGATGGGATAAACAGTATCTGAATATCTCAGTTGTATTCTGTACAAAATTATTTATTTTTTCAATATCATAAATTGTGACAATTATGAAGCCAAGAAAGATCAAAATGAGGTTAAAAACCACTGGCAGTAAATATAAAGGATTCAGGGTCAACACAACCTTTGAGAACATTCATAGGATATTACTGTTATCTTACAATTACAAACAAAAAAATTGCATTACACCCATGATAACTCTGAAAGTTTTATTTATTATTATTATTATGCCTGCAGAGATAGACAAACTGAGAAACAAATTTACAAAACTAACCTTAACAAAAAAAAGGACAAGTTATCACCTTTTCTATAACTTTAACAATCAAATGAAAACCGATATAAATTTAACTGGCAAGCCAGTGTGTATATAATATATGAATTGCCATTAAATAACAAACACAGCAGAAATAGATCTCAGATTTATCAGGCAGTCCACTCGGTAGACATTGCACTGATTTCAGCCACATACTCTCAGCTTCTTCAAAATTCCAGCTCATTTTTCTTCAATGATTTAGCTATTTCAGGGACCCCTGATATCTAACCCGAGTGCCTAGGTCAGTACCAGATACATATTTGAGTGATGTTGAACAGTAAGCAATGTGAATATAACAACATGTTGCCGAGCTATCGCAAAATGGGTGTAACATTGCTCTAATTCCTCAACCTCAACCGGATCCAACCAATCTCCCGCACTTCTGCCCTCACCCCCTCTCTTCCCTCTCGCAACAGTAATAGGGTCCCCCTTGTCCTTACCTACCATCTCACCAGCATCCACATCCAGAAGATCATCAGACGCCATTTCCAGCACCTCCAGCGAGATGCCACCACCAGACACATATTGCCCTCCCCTCACTTGTCCACCTTCTGCTGGGAATTTCCCTTCCAGGCCACCCTGGTCTACTCTTCCTTCACTCCCAACATCCCCCACAGTCCGATGGCACCTTCCCCTCCAACCGCCGAAGGTGTAACACCTGTCATTTATCTCCTCCCTCCCCAGTATCCAAGGGCCCAAACATACCTTCCAGCAGAAGCAGCACTTTACCTGCACTTCTCACAATCTCGTCTACTGCATTCGCTGCTCACAATATGGTCTCCTCTACATTGGGGAAGTGAAGCGTAGACTGGGTGACCGTTTCGCAGAACATCTGTGTTCTGCTCGCAAAAAAGACCCTGAGCTTTCAGTTGCCTGTCACTTTAACACACCACCCTGTTCCCTGACCAACATCTGTGTCTCAGGTTTGCTGTAGTGTCCCAGCAAAGCTCAAAGCAAGCTGAAAGAACAACACCTCATTTTCTGCTTGGGGACCCTGCAGCCCTCTGGACTCAATATCAGGTTCAATAACTTTTAGGGCCTGAACTCTCCTATGCCCTAGCCCCTTACCCCACACACCAGGTCTTGTTATCACAAAGCCTGCCATTAAACATTACCTATTGTTAGCTATTAACTGTCTTCATTAACAGCTATTCACCCTCCTGGCCAGATCGTTATCAACTCCTTTGTCTGTCTGACTGTTCTTCTCTCTCTTCGTAGTCTATCCCCACCTATTGATTACTCCTTACCTTCTTCCCCCACCCTATCTTCTGCATATAAACCAACACTTTCCTAGCTACTATCAGTTCTGAAGAAGGATCACTGGACCCGAAATGTTAGCTCTGAGTTTTTTCTTCACAGATGCTGCCAGACCTGCTGAGCTTTTCCAGCAACTTCTGTTCTTTTGTTTCTGATTTACAACATCCACGGTTCTTTCAGTTTTTACTGACATGACTGGCAATGTTTTTCATTAACTGGCAACTGCCATGTAACCTCCTCTTTATGTAATATTTCTTTATTTTCCCTTTCCAATGCAGACAATGAACATGTTTATATGGAACTGATGCAGAAGCTCTGCAAGTATTGTCCAAAAGAATGGAAGAAAGAAGTAAGCAAAGTAAGTTTCCCCCAGCAGCAAAATTCAATATCTGCTAGTTCACTATAAAGACCCACTTTAACACAGCCATATTTATATTTATATAATTACACCCCAATCAAGACTAACTCTGGTAAATCAACTTCTTCTTACTCTGGAATAATGACTCAGTCAGCTAGCACTACACGGGTAATAGTTAAAGGTTGTTGATGATATCCTTAACATGAAAGGGATGTTTGAGTGGTTTTTGATTGACATCTGACATCTGAGTGGTCAAAGTTATCCTCACTTCTGTTGATGAAGCTATTTCTAAAGTTAATATAGTTGCATTCTTTTAACACACACAAATAGTGATAATGCAGTGAAGTTGATCAGATTGGATACCCCACTCCATATTAATGTACATACTGGATTGAGTTCTAGAGGCCACAAAAAAGCAGACAATACTGCAGCAGCAATAGTGAGGAATAATGTGGCTGGAAAGGACAAAATTGGCTGCAAAATAGTGATACCTTCCACAGTATAAAGTCATGTTAATTGCACACAATCCATATTGCTTTTATTTAGTGAATGTCACTAGCATTTTTAAGCAATCTTCCCTATTTTTGCTGTATGACCATCAACATAAAATATCATAAAATGGCTGCACTATCCAGTGCTATACCCTTGGCATCAGCTTGGATGTATAATTCAACTTTTAAATGATATCATGTCAGCAAATAAAACATTAATTTATAGTGACATCCTGTGTTAATATTTTGGTGAAGAGTATTCTGGATTTTCTAATAATTATGGAGGTCGGAAATCACACGATACCAGGTTATAGTCCAACAGGTTTATTTGAAATTACAAGCTTTTGGAGTGCTACTCCTTAATCAGGTGAAGTGGACGTGAAGTAAGTCATAAACAGTATTGCAAAAAGGGCTGACAGTGGATTGGCCATTAGGTTTACACCATGTGCAGTTTTCTTTTACATCATCTTCATTGACCAATTGGACTCCTTTACCTGTCAATGTGAAGATTTACATCACTGATACATTATTTGTATTCTGCCTTATAATTGAAACAAAGAATTCTTTGTTTCTTTTGTTTTTGGGTTTGATATGTGAGAATATCAATGGGCATGCAATGTGAAAAATTTTGAAGCACCTAATGATTGCCTGTAATGCCGTATTATTTATTTTTCCATTATTTCTGCAGGGCATTGACCAGTTTGGTCCACCTATGATTGTTCATTTCAGGGTACAATACTACGTGGAGAATGGGCGATTAATTGGGTAAGACGAATGACCTTTTCAAAGGTGGGGAATGGAGGCACACAAAATCCAGCAAATGACCTCCCTGTCCAACCTGACCTGCCTGCCATTTTACAGAGGGCAGAGAAGGTAATTGGTGGCTTGCCCACCCTTGGGCCTATTGAGGCCTTTACATGGCTAATTTAGGGCCTCATTCCTCTACTAAATGAACTTAACTAATGGTGGGAGAGCCCTGCACCATGTGTGAGCCTGGCAGCTTTAGCTACTGCGATGGTGTCAGGCAAGTTGGCAGAAGGTGACTCCTGAACCAGCCTCTCTCATATCCACCCACCCCCCCACTCACCTGGATTTTGGATGGTGAACTTAACCTGGGCCCTTCTGCCTGGTTGGGACCGTCAGGAATCCAAGCAGTAGTCACTCCACTCTCGGCTTGCATTACTGAGACAACAGAGCTGTCAGTCATCCAATGGCCTGCACCTGACTAAGGATTCAAGAGCCATACTTCTCTGTAAATCCCAGCATGTGGACATGTTGGGATGCAATCTAAGTCAGTAGGGGGAATTTGGGGAACGTGTGGTATGGACTGTGGAATTTTGTATGAGCTGATAGTTATGGAAGGAGGAGGGTTGAAGCCTGAGCAACGGAGTTACAAAATCTGGAGTAATGAAAGATATGATTGTGCCTTTCAGTGAAAGGTGGTCTGCGATAGATGGCAGAGGGGAGAACAGCTGATGTAGTAGGTTTAATAGTAAAGATGGAAATAGGTAGCCATTATGATTAACAGGTCAGAAATTCAGTCCAGGGTTGAACTCCAGCAAGCAATTTGGTTAAGCTGGACTGCTGTCCAGTTTGGGGATGGAGTAAGAGGCAAAGACACTAAGATGTTACCCTCAGGCTTCCTAGTGTTTGACTGGAAGAGTTTGCAGATGCAATTGGGTATGTGGTAGTATGCTGCAGCCTTTAGGAAGATATCAATGGAATGCTCAGTTGGCTCAGAACATGATAGGATTGGAAACAAATGGAATTCAATGCAGGGAAGTATGACATATATTTTGGAAGGACAAGTAAATAAACAATAAATGGTAAGATTTTGAGAAACATAAGGGAACAGAGAGAACTTGTAGTGCATGTCTAAATATCCCTGAATTTAGCTGGACAACTAATTATGCTAATTAAGAAGGCAACCAGGGGTTACATTTTTTTGGCTGTGGTTTGGAATGTACGTTATGTCATAGCTAAGAGTACGGCACATGCTTACTTATAGGAAGGGGCTGATCCCGCTCTAGAAGTTACAGAGGACATTTTGCAAGGAAGTTGGCAGGAATGGAGAATTTTATCGGATGAGGAAAGATTGAGTAGGTTGAATTATAAAGCTGAGGACTCTCCATAGTCTGCAACCATTCAAATTCCCCAGCAGAGAGGTCAATGAGCAGAGAGCATAGATTTAAAGTAATTGCCAGAGGATTAAAGGGAAATTGAGAAGAATTTATTTTCATCAGAGGTTGGTGGGGCCTGGAACTTTTAGCCTGAAAAAGTGACGGGGACAGAAAGCTTCACCAAATTTTTAAATGCTTGGAGATACACTTGAGGTGCCATATTCTGGAGGGCTTGAAAGTGGGATTAGGCTGCATTGCTGTGTTTCTGGCTAGCACAGACATGATGAGCCAGATAGCCTCCTTTGTCCTCATATATTTCTATATTCCGTGACTCTACAGACCAAATTTTTGTCTGGGTGTAAAATGACTGACGCTTAATCAAATAGACTTCGAAAAAAATTATCCTCCTTCCCGCACCATTTTTGTTTAGCCTTTTTGCAGGTTGGGAATTTGCTTAATGTGTAAAATGCAGACCCATCCCACTGAGAACATGGTTCCCTGTTTCAATGGAGGATGATATTCACACCGTTTTCATTCTGTGCTGCTACGTTGTGGAAGCCAATTAACATCATGCCAGAGTTGGAGAGTTTGTGAAGAAAATGTAAAACTGGCTGAGGAGCATTCCGAAAGATAAGAGTGTAGTGTTTTCATGTCTTCACGTTACTGTTACGTGCTTTATTGTAATATAGTTCTGTTTCTAATGCAGTGATTCCAATGCCTTACTTATCAGTAAGCATGTAACTTTATTTCAGTGTGCTTGTCAGAGATTCTAATATGACATTTTTCTTTGCAGTGATAGAGCAGCTAGATACTATTACTACTGGCACTTGCGGAAACAAGTTCTCCAATCCCAGTGCATGCTACATGAGGAAGCCTACTTTCTACTTGCTGCCTATGCTTTACAAGCAGACCTTGGCAACTACAAAAGGCACAAACACTATGGGAAATACTTTGAGCCAGAAGCTTACTTTCCTCCTTGGGTATGACCTTTTAAAATCTTTAATCTTTCAAAATCTTATATATGAAATATAGATACAGAAACAAAAGAGCCAAAAGTCAGTTTGTTAAGCTGTAAACATGAAAGCTCTAACTGAGCGAAGAAGAGTGGGGTTTGTGACTCAATGACTGAATGCACCACCTTTGAATTCCACCTTAAATTTCACCGGAAATATAAAACAAGTTCATTATAATTAAGTGCAACCGTGTGCATCGTGGCATTGGCTCAGGATGATTCATCAGTCCTGAGCTCCACATTTACATCCTGCAGGAAGTGCCCACAAATGAGGCTGAGAATTTTATGCAGAGTTTTACTTAGATTGCGACCTGAAAATGATAACTTCAGGGTCTGTGGACAGGGCAAAATTTTCTCCTTTCGTCTGATGAATTTAGCTGTTGTTTATTGCTGTCTTTCAGCTAGCACTGTGGAGATAGACATAGTAAGCAAATGAAGAGGCAGATTGCCAGGCTCTGAACTCTACCCATCAATTACATCAGGGTAACGGCCGTGCATTATGTTAGGAATGGGAAGAGGGAAATAGAGTAGAATGGGAGTAAAGCAGCACAACGCACTGCTCAATTCTCCCTCATTTTCCAATCTTATCCGATTTCAGCAAGGATGACACTGATTAAATCCTGCCTGGTATCTACCTAACATCCTTTTGCAGTTGTTTGAATTTTGTATTCATGAATACAGAATTTATAATAAACCAAATGATCAGGGTCACCTTGTAAATATTATTTCACATTTACACCTGTTTGGAGCTAAAAGAAAAATTTGAAAGGTGAGTGTATAAGTTCTTTCATCAAGAATGTAGCTTCAGTCAACTGGATTTGTAGTAGGATGAATCCTTATCAAACTGAAGCTTTCTCATCTGCGTGCAGCTCCCAATATATGCAAAACTTCCCCTTCTGTCTCCATCTGCACAAATTTGCGTACTTTTGAATGCATTACCCATGCCACATGAGTGTTAGGCAACAAAATAGAATCAAAACGTCTCTCCTTTGATATTACCATTGCTGAATTCCCTACCATCAACATCCTGAGGATTACCATCGACCAGAAACTTAACTGGTTCAGCCACACAAATGCTGCAATTTCAAGACCAACTCAGAGGCTGGAAATTCTGCCGTGTGTGCTTCCCCTCTCGACTGCCCAAATCTGTCCACTATCTCAAAGACACAAGTGAGGAATATATTAGAGCATTCCATTTTCTCAGATGAGTGCAGATCCAAAAAACCTGCAGAAGCTCGACTTTTCAAGACAGAGCAGCCCACTTGATCAGCACCACAACGTTCACTATCTCTACCACTGTGGCAGCAACGTGTACCATCTACAAAGTGCATTGCAATAATTTACCAAGCCACATTGACAGCATGTTCTAAACCTGTACCTCTACCACCTAGAAGAATAAGAGCAGCAGATTCCTAGAAATAGCATCACGTGCAAGTCACATGCCATCCTAATATGGAATGAATCATTACACCTTCATCTTGGACCTCCCTCTATAACAGCATTGGGTGCAATGACACCACTCAGACTGCAGTAGTTTGAGAAGTCCTTTCTCATCACCTTCTCAGGGACAAGTATGGGTGGGCAATAAATGCTGAATTTCCATATCCCATGAACTATGTTTTAAAAAAAGGTCTGGTCTTTTGGTTATGTTATTTCACAGCAGCAAACATTGTAAGCTGTCCCATAGGTGCAGCTCTTTAATCAACTGTAACAACTTTAAATATTTTCTGCATTGATGTGTATGCTAGTTTTACATAATTAGTTACTTTACACATTTAGCTAATTTAGTTGCGACAAGAATGCACTGACTGACCAGAATTTTTATAACAAATTGTTTAGACAGAACAGGGACTTAGGAGAATGCTAAAAGATATTCTGTAATATTCCCTAATGCTGCTTTCTTTTAAGTAGCAAATTGCTGACTTAATTATTTGTGTGCTGAATATCCATAATGACCTCAGTGCAGAGACCGAAAATAACAGAACACAGAAACCACAAAATAACAGGGGACTTATGTTACTATGTACTTAAGATAAATCTTAGAGAATTTAAAGGCAAAGTTTTGGGTCTGAATACACAATCTCACGTTTTTTGGAAGCTTCGAAGAATAAACCCCTGGCTCTTTTTGCTTTGTAAATAAGCTGTGTGTGTGTGTGTGTGTGTGTGTGTGTGTGTGTATAGTTTGTGCATTGAATGATAATGAAATACAGAATTTTAGACTGACATAAGTACTTTTGTCATTTTAAATAGTCATTTCATTATATTTGCAAACCCTTAAACTTCATTCTCAAAGTTGATCCAAATGCTAAACTGGCATCTTTTGATCCAGATTAATTTAATAGTAGGCTTCAACTGAGTGTTCCAAACTGGGAACAACATGAAATAGAAATTAAGGGAGCAGACATCATATGTTGTATCATCTGTATATTTCAGCCACACAGTTACTAACATTGTGATTTGACAGAGTCCAATAATTATTATTTTGATTTGAATTTCTTAATGTCTTATCCTTTAGTTTCTGTTACAGCAAAGAGATAAGTATGAGCAAAACATGACTCCTCTGTGCCTTTGCTTTTGGTCCTTTTTGTCAGTATATAGTGCGCATTCATTTTGAAGCACAGTTGGCATTGAATAGGGAGTCTGATCTGTTTTAGTTTGAGATTGGGTGGGAAGTGATAAAATCTGAGGTTGATGAGACATAATATTAGCAACAGATTGCTGTGAAACAGTCACCACTTTACCACTCGTCATTTTTAGTGCTGTCATTCAAAATGCACTAAACAGAGTTGGAGGCAAAAAGAAGAAAACAATATGTACTGGGAAGAACATCTGAAAACTTCAACCATATATTTACTTTATATAAGAACTGAAAATATCACTCTGATACCAACTTTAAATTGGAGAATACTTTGCTCTTTGTAAAGCGAGTGTTGGGTTTTAATGACTGATTGACAGACACCAATAGCTGGATTGCTGAATTACTTACTTGCCACGGGTAAATTGAAATATAATCCAAATAGAATAGAAAATGTAGTGAGTTAACACCCTGAAAACAACTGGACAGCATTGAGCATTTTGCATATTTAAAGTCAGACAATGCTGTTTCAACTTGTCAGATCCCTAACCATTGTAATGGATCTAATGTTATGTTGAAAGGGCTTGTTTGCCTCTGTGTGAAACTGGTGACAATATCATAGACAAATATGATGCATAAGGATACATGCAAGTACTGTAACATTTTGAAGCTGTAGTGATTTTATTCCAAGAAGATTGTATAATTATCACAGATTATATAACATGGTACAAAAATATTTGATTTAAAAACATTATTTACTCTTGTAGGTGGTTACCAAGCGAGGAAAGGAATACATTTTGAAACACATTCCAAATATGCACAAGGACCAGTACGCACTTACAGCCTCAGAAGCACATCTCAAATACATCAAGGAGGCTGTCCAGTTAGATGATGTGGCCGTTCATTATTACAGGCTTTATAAGGTAAGGAACAGAATGGATATATTGTGGCTTCAGTTCAGACAGAGTGCTCAGAATGTTTATAGAAAGTACTGACTGAAAGAATTTTCTGTTTAATGAGATTTATTTTTATCTGGTTGCTTTCACAACCTGAGAAGGTTACCAGTAATCAGGTTAGTGGAATAGTTGCCTGCAGTCAGATTAGGATTGTCAACCAGAGTTTAGGGAGATCACAATCCAGAACAAAGATCAAAGTAGTGAGTGACATTTTAGAGATGAAAACTGCAGCAACTCTGCTTAAAAAATGGTTTGTGATCTTGTAGCAACTGATCAGGCTAAGATGGTGCAGGGTAAGTCTGGCATTTCACAGAGGAGGAAAGGGCTAGGAAGGAGCAATATTTGCATCTGGCAATAACACTTCACCTTTGGCTTTTGTTACTTTTTTGTCTTTTTTTATTTAGTAACAATTGAGGCCAAAGGGAAGTAAGAGTCCTGTCCTGGTTTAAGTGGAGGGAGGGAGTGGCATAATGGGAATGTCATTGGGACTTGTAATCCAGAAATGCAGGCTAATGTTTTGGGGATAGGTATTCAAATCCTACAACAGCAGATAGTGATATTTCAATTTAACAAATATCTAAAAATAAAAGCTAGCCTAATGATGAGCATGTAGCTATAGCTGATTGTTTAAAAAGCTGTCAGGTTCACTAATGTCCTTTTGGGCTTGAAATCGTTGTCCTTGCCTAATGTGCCATACATGCAACTCCAGATCCACAACACTGTGTTTGTGTTTGACTTGTAACTGCCCTCCAAAATAGCTGAACAAACCACTCAGTTGTATCAAAATGCTACAAAATCTGTACAAAGGAATGAACCCAGGCAGACCACCCAACATCGACCTGTGCATCAGAAGAAATGAGGCAGACAGAGTCCTGTTGACCTTGCAAAGTCCTCTGGGGGTTTGTGCCAAAATTCAGAGGTGTCCAACAGACTAGTCAAGTAACAGCCTGACATTATCATACCCATAGAATCATACGTTACATACAATATCTCAGACACCACCATCGCCATCCCTAAGTAAGTCCTGCTCCACAGCTGCTAGGCACAGTGGTATACATTAGGCAAGATATTTCCCCAGGAGACCTCAACGTTGACTCTGAACCCTGAATGTACTCTGTCTGAAGGATTTCAATTTTCCATTACTAAGAGTGACTCTATTGTATCACTACTGATTGAAAAGTTCAAGGCTGAAAGGACATAGCTGCTGGACTGGGTCTGTGACATGCATTGAAGGAACCAATAAGGGGAAAATCTGTTTGACCTCCTCCTCAGCAATCTGCCTGGTCACAAGTGTATTTGCCCATGACAGTATCAGTGGCATTCACCGCCATGCAGTCCTTGTGGAGATGAAAGTCTATTTTCACATTGAGGATACCCTCCATTATTTTGTGTGGCACAATCACTGTGCTATTGGGACAGACTTAGGATAGATCTAACAACTCAAGACTAGGCATCCAGGAGGGCCTAGGAGTTGTCATCAGTAGCATTCTACCATTACCATCAGATCAGGAGGTCAATCCTGGTTCAGTGAAGACAGCAGGAGGGCATGGCAGGAGCAGCACCAGGCACAGTTCAGCTTAGTGAAGCTACTTGTGTGCTAAACAGCCGAAGCAGCCTGCTAAGAAAGGGATAAGGGAGTCCATAGCCGATGGATCACATCTAAGTTCTGTAGTCTTGCCATATCCAGTCATGAATGGTTATAGACAATTAAACCACTAACGCGGGGGCTCATCCTGAAATGCCAAGACAACGATTCATTGCAGCCTTCTGCTGACATCCCCAGCATCACAAATGCCAGTCTTCAAATTGATTCAGCTTCTTGTGATTTGAAGAAATGGCTGAAGGCACTAGATACTGCAGGGGCTATGGGCTGTGAAAAGATTTTGGTGATATTACTGAAGACCTGTTCTCTAGAAACTAGCCTCATCTCTAGGTAAGTTATTTTAGTACAGCTACAGCACTGGTATCTACTCAACAATGTGCAAAATTGCCAGGTAAACAACAATTCCAAAGATAACAAGGTGTAGAGCTGGATGAACACAGCAGGCCAAGCAGCATCAGAGGAGCAGGAAAGCTGACGTTTTGCACCTAGAATTCCAAACCGGTGAATTTCCACCCCAGCAGGCTACGCCTGATTATCGGCAATGTGAAGGAAGAGATTGTCAACACTGTGACCCTGTGAAGGAACGATCTCACCTACACAGAGTTTGGGTTCCTGAAGGACCACTCAGTTCCTGACCTCATTAGAGCTTTGGTCCAAACATGAACAAAAAGAGCTGAACTTCAGGGGTGAGGTGAGAGTGACTGTCCTTGGCAACATCCAACTGAGCATGGCATCAACGGCCCTGTCAAAACTCGAGTTGACGGGAATTAGGGGAGTAAATACTCTGCTGGTTAGAGTCATGCAGATCATAAAGGAACGTGGTTGTTTTTGGGAGGTCAGTCATACAGCTCCAGGACATCTCTGCAGGAGTTCCTCAGGGTAGTGTCCTTGGTCCAACCATCTTCAGCTCCTTTGTCAATGACATCCTCTCCATCATCAGGTCAGAAGTGGTTAACTGTGCAATTTTCTGTACCATTTGCAACTCCTCAGAAACTGATGCAACCTAAGCCCATATGCATTAAGATCTGGACAATGTCCAGTCTTGAGCTGATAAGGGGAAAATAATATTCAACCATATATGTTGTGGATACCAGAATGTGTAAGAGGCTAGGAATTCAGTATGCAGTGACTCATCTCGTGTCTCGCAATGCTGTCCACCATCTACAAGGTGAAAATCAGGAGTGTGATAGAGTACTCTCTGTTTGCAACTAGCAGTTTAAGCTCGGCAGTATTCAGGACAAAGCAATCCGCTTTCAGCAATCATTCCCTTCACTCCCAATGTACAGTGGCAGCACTTTGTACTGTCTACAACATGCACTCACCAAAGCTCCTTCGACAACACGTTCCAAACCCATGATCTCTAGCACCTACAAGACTAGGGGAGCAACAACATCTGCAAGATCCCGTCCAAGTCACACACCATCCTGACTTGGAACTACTTTGCTGTTCCTTCACTGTTATGGGGTCAAAATTCTGGAACCATCTTCCTAACAACAGTGATCTTACACCCTAAGAACTGCAGCAGTTCAAGAAGGCAGCTTACCACTACTTTTTCCAAGCAATTAGGAGTGGCCGATAAAGCTGGCCTAGCCAGTGATGCCCACATTCTATGGAACAATTAATAAGAAACATGTCTTGTGTATCCAGCAGGAATATAGCAATATGTAAACGCATCTTAACACTTTCTTCTTGGCTCTCACTGTATCATGATAACCTACTACAAATCCATTACCCTGATTAACACAAAAAGCACATATTCAATCTCAGAAACATTGGCCATTGTATTTATGCATAAACTCTTACTCTTCTGCACATGTGTATAAAACAGCATGCTTTCTGTTCAGGCTTGTTCCCTCCACAGACTAAAGCTATTTTGCTAAGCAAAGTGAACTGCCACAATTGTCACTTACCTACTGTGTGTTGCAAACCTTTGTTTGTTATTCATTCTGTTAGTAGTGGAACAAGCGCATGAGGAGAACTGGCTTACACATTATTCCAATAAACAGCAAAATAAGAAGGATGTTTATTCATTTTCATTGCAGTCTAGTTTTGATTAATACCTGCATTAGCAGAATGTGTTTTATTTCATTGGATATAATTTGGCACGTATTGAATAAGATAGCACTGCATCACAGGAGAATGACTGCTGTATGTGATTGTAATGCTACCAAATAGAAATTATATTGTAAATAGGAAAAAGCAGACTGACTGTGTTCCCTGTTGATGTATGGCCAACACCCAAAATAGAAATCATGTCATATAACTAATTTTGAAATATTCACTAAATAATACTCATTATTCTGTATCTGCCAAACGTCCTGTGCAATCTACTATTTTAACTAGGACTTGTATAGTAAATGGTAAGGTCCTGAGGACTGTTGTGGAACAGAGGGACCTAGGACTACAAGTACATAGCTCATTGAAAGCAGTGTCACAGGTGGACAGGGTAGTGACGAAGGCATTTAGCATGCTGGCCTTCATCGGCCGAGACATTGAGTATAGGAGTTTGGACGTTTATGTTACAGTTGTATAAGTCATTGGTGAGGTCATACTTGGAGCATTGTATACAGTTTTGGTCACCCTGTTATAAGAAAGACTGGAAAGTGTGCAGAGAAGATTTGTGAGGATGTTGCTGGGACTAGTAGGCCTGAGTTATAGGGAGAGGTTGGCCAGGATAGCACTTTATCCCTTGGAATGTAGGACAATGATGGGTGACCTTTATTGAGGTGTATAAAACCATGAGGGGCATAGATAGGATGAATGCATATAGTCTTTTTCCTAGGGATGGGGAATTGAAAACGAGGGGGCATAGGTTTAAGTTGAGAAGGGAGAGATTTAAGAAGGACCTGAGGGGCAACTTCTTCACGCAGAGAGTAGTGCAAGTCTGGAATGGGCTGCCAGAGAAAGTGGTTGAGACAGGTACGTTAGCCACATTTAAAAGACATTTGGATAGGTACATGAACCCACACTATGGCCAGTGCTTTATGTTTATGCACCATGGCAGATTTGGGGGCTGGGAGGTTGTTTATTGTGTGAGATAGTTGTGGGTGGGACCCCACTGCCTTTCTGCCTTGTCTCCAGTTGGCTGAGTCGAAAGGCCCCTTCAGGCGGTCTTCCAGACCCATCACCAAATCCTGACCTCTAACTAAGGGCCTTCCATTGCCTCCATTACTATTAACCCAGCAGTGCACATGTGTGTCTCCGAGCATGACATACAAACTGGAGCTGGTCATTTGTGATCTCTTGTCCTTGTCCCTCATTCAAAAGTTGTAAGATTAGATGGATCATGAGACCTAAGGTCAGGAAGGAGGGGAGACACTGAGAACCACAGCCAGCCCTTGCTGCTGACCTCAATACCTCCCTCCACTGCGACTTTATGCAACTCCCCCCTGCCACCACTTATCTCTCGGTCACTCCATGATCCTGGGGCCCCTGTGAATATATTTCCTACAGCACCACTGCCTCGTGGTGGCGCTGCTGAGCAGAAGAACAGCTGGCCTCAGTCAGTGGGACTTCTTGCCAGCTGGGTCCTGATCCAGTGAAAGGGATACTGGTGACCTGCCAACTGCCCGATTGGCTTGTGACATGGTGGACTTTTTCAGGAGGGAGCTGTGTGAGTCTTTTGCAAGCTCTCCAAATGGTAGCTGAGACCCATGATACCTGCATAAAAATCCCTCAGTGACACACACCTCTCTGCAGGACAAAGTGACTCATAATTGGATGAAGTAGCACCTAACCTGGGGGCAGGGGGGCTGGGGTGGGGGAACAGCATGACCTGACCTCACAGATGAGAAGGTGCTGGCAATCATTGGAATGGCCAAGCACAGTAGCATGGCTGAAACTATAGACTCTCACTCCATCTCTCTCTCATCGTAGTCTATGATTTACAAGTTGCAGGATGGTGTAAGCATGCACCTCCAGTTCGCTGATTGGTAATACGCAGTAAATAATGTCTTGTTTAAAATGGGAGCCTCTTCTCGTTAGACAACCAAGTGGTCTTTCTCTACCATATGCGACCAAACAGGACCTGTAGACTTGTCCCAGGATAGAGGATAGCATCAGTAAAACTACCAGCTGGATTTTACACCATGTTGAGTTATGGAGAGGATTAATCTTACAACAAGACTGATGCTACATGGTGCAGATACCAGCCTCTTAAAGGATCTCTCAGCATCCAGCAATCTGTGCTCCACCAGGTTGTTAGATCTGCTGAGATGTTATCTTTGGTGGAATCTATGAAAAAGAGCTGACAGGATGACAGCAGATTCGTGCTGCCAAAACTGCCACTCCATTTATGGCCCACTGTTGACTATAAGCCAGTCCAAAATATGCCATTTGTTCAAAGATGGTGCAGTCTGAAGCCTGACCTTTTAAAGCCCAGAACTAGTTGTGGACAATCCCTGACAGCGTCCCACAGGAAAAGTCAGCAGTGTTCCACCAGCCATGCTGAAGCCACTGGGGTAGCACTGTACAGAAACACAAGAACAAAGACTCTCACAGCACAGACACAAGGGGAATGCTCAATGGTGGCGGGGTAGCTTAGTGGTTAGCACTGCTGCCCCACGGTGCCAGGGGACCCACCCTCGGATGACTATCTGTTTGGAGTTTGCATGTTTGCGTGGGTTTCCTCTGGGTGCTCCAGTTTCCTCCCACAGTTCATACATGTGCAGGCTAGGTGCATTTGTCATGGAAAGTGCAGGGTTACAGGAATAGGGTAGGAGAATGGGCCAGGGAGGGCTGCTTTTTGGAGGGCTGGTATGGACTCAATGAACAAAAATGGCCTACTTCCACACTGTAGGGATTCTATGACGATTTAACTTTTGCATGGAATATTGGATGTTTCACTGGATAAAGTTCATTTGAACTTGTTGTTTGTTGTGACTTTTACTGCAGCTTAGAACATTACAGCGCAGTACAGGCCCTTCGGCCCTCGATGTTGCGCCGACCTGTGAAACCAATCTGAAGCCCATCTAACCTACACTATTCCATTGTCATCCATATGTTTATCCAATGACCATTTAAATGCCCTTAAAGTTGGCTAGTCTACTACTGTTGCAGGCAGGGCATTCCACGCCCTTACTACTCTCTGAGTAAAGAACCTACCTCTGACATCTGTCCTATATCACCCCTCAATTTAAAGCTATGTCCCCTCGTGCTAGCCATCACCATCTGAGGAAAAAGGCTCTCGCTGTCCGCCCTATCTAATCCTCTGATCATCTTGTATGTCTCTATTAAGTCACCTCTTAACCTTCTTCTCTCTAACGAAAACAGCCTCAAGTCCCTCAGCCTTTCCTCATAAGACCTTCCCTCCATACCAGGCAACATCCTGGTAAATCTCCTCTGCACCCTTACCAATGCTTCCACATCCTAGCTTGGTAACCAATAGGACGCTTTAGTTATTTATTTTAGTGTGGAGGCTCTTGTATAATAGGGTTTGGGCAAGTGTTCACGCAAAGTGAGGCAAACACACGGATTTTAATATGTAGGAGCAGAAGTAGGTCATTCGGCCCATCGAGGCTACTTTCCTGAGCAGTGAGCTCACGGCTGATCTGATTATCCTCAACTCCACTTTCCTGCCTTTTCCCTATAACTCTTGATTCCCTTAATGATTAGAAATCTGTCTGCTTCAACCTTGAATATACTTAATAACCCAGCCTCAACAGCCCTCCGCGCTAAATAATTCTGCAGATTTACCATCATTTGAGAGAAGAAAAATTTCTCCTCATCTATGTCTTAAATGGGCAGCCCCTTTATTCTGAGATTATGCCTTCCAGTCCTCGACTCTTCCATAAAGAGAAACATCCTCTCCGTATTCACTGTGTCAGGTCCCCTTAGAATCTTGTTTGTTTCAATAAGGTCTCTTCTCATTCTGCTAAACTCTAACGAATACGGGCCCAGCCTGCTTAACCTGTCCTCATGAGAAAATCCCTGCATATCTGGGATCAATCTCATTAACCTCCTCTGTATTGCCTCCAATGCCAATATATCTTTCCTTAGATGGAGGATCAAAATATTTTTTACAATATTTCGTCTATGGTCTGCCAAGTGCCTTGTATAGTCTTAGCAAAGCCTCTCTATTTTTACACTCCTTTCTCTTTGAAGTAAGAATTTCCATTTGCTTTCCCTATTACGTGCTGAACACGGATCCTAGCTTTTAGTGATTTATGTACCAGACACCCTCAAATCCATCCATGTTGCAGCTTTCTGCAGTCTTTTTCCTTTTAAATAATATTCAGCTCCTCTATGCTTCCTGCCAAAGTGCATAACCTCACATTTTCACATACTATATTCTATCTGCCAAGTTACTATCCACCCATTTAACCTGTCTATACCCATATGTAGACCCATCCTCAAACTTGATTATAGCACATTCACTTTCCTCATCCAGGCCATAAATATATATTGGAAATAATTGAGGCCCTAGCATTGATCTATGTGGCACTCCACTAGTTACAGGTTACCATCCTGAAAAATTCTCCCTTATCCCAACTTGGTCATCTGTTAGTTTGTGAATCCTCTTTTATTTTAAGGAGTCTTAATTGGGGTACCTTATTAATTGCCCTTCAGGAGGGTCCTAAGTTCCTTCCTCCCTCCTTCCTTCTTGCTCTTCTTGAGTGGTTTACCACACCCCTGATGGCTAGTGCCGTGTCCTCTACACAGAATACTGCTGACTGCTCTTCAGTACTGTTGAGTTCCTCCAGAATTATCAAGACAACTGGACTATTACTTCAGACCTCCTGTAAACTGTTCCGTCGTCTTTCACCTAGTGACAAGAGCGTAGCTGAAGCAGTGAGATTGAAAATGGCCACTTCCCTAGAGGTGATATTGTTTAATACAACTGCCTGCCTCTGGCCAGCAGTTCACAGTGGGTGGGACTTACGTCAGGCCTTATCGTTGACCTGCCTGATGCTGTGGCTATTCCTGAAAAAAAAAAGGCAACGCTGGGCTCTTGCTGGTTCTCTAGCCAGTGGACCAAACCACTCACTGCTTCCACTGGCATAAATTATCTTAATTTAGGACTGTTGTGCATCATTAATGCAGGTATGAAAAACTTCTTATTCAGGTGTATAAGTCCATAAATTGGTTATAATTATTTAATGCTGTCAGAAATTATTCCAGACCCATTACTTTACTGATGCACCATTGCTAACATATAGCTGAGGAAACCAGCTGCTCAGAAAACTCTTCATTCAGTGAATATTATTGATCTCTGTATTTTTTTTTATTCCATTTAGGATAAAAGGGAAATTGATGCTTCACTGATGTTGGGCTTGACTCTTCAAGGACTTCAGATATTTCAGGTCAGAAAAGAAACTGTTTTGTAAAAGTCCAGCTCCTGTTCTTTTTCTTGCCTTTCATGGTTGCTGACCTGATTAAGAGTCATCCATCTTGAAAGATGATGCTGCAAGTGTCAAATCTGTTCAGCTTCTTTGTCATTTTGTCACACCACGTGTGGCTGAAGAATTCAATTCCTTAGCAACGGTCCTTGCCATAGGCTAAAATCACATGTTGTTGGTCATTGTGGGCTTTCAGTATGCTCTGTAAAGGTAAAGGTAAAGGTAAAGGCAAAAGGCACACTGATTTTGCACAAAACATCATGTTTATGAAGACTGTCCTAACACATTACCAGCTTCCAATCTCACTGTCCTTAACTCGCTACTATACTTAACCCTACTCTATCCAATGTACTGTGCCCAGTTCCGTCTCCCTTCCTCCTACCCAAACATGGCCCATGTCTCTCTCCATTTCCAAAGTGCTACAAATATAGTAACAGATCTCCCTCACTGGTGTAGTTCAGTTAAGTTTTGCATTTTGTACATTGTTTATTTTTTTTAGAATAAGTTTAGAACATAGAACAGTACAGCACAGTAAAGGCTGTTCAGCCCACTATTATCCTACTCCAAGATCAAACTATCCTGCATACCCTACATTTTACTATCATCCATGTGCCTATCCAAAAGTCGCTTAAATGTCCCTAAGGTATCTGACTCCACTACCACCGCCGGCAGCACATTCCATGTACTCACCACTCTTTGTGCAAAGAACCTACCTCTGACATCTCCCCTATACCTTCCTCCAATCACCTTAAAATTATGCCTCCTCATAATATTCATTTCCGCCCTGGGAGAAAGTCTCTAGCTATCCGTTCTGTCTATGCCTCTCATCATCTTTTACACCTCTATCAAGTCACCTCTCATCCTTCTTCGCTCCAATGAGAAAAGCCCTGGCTCCCTCCAACCTTTCCTCATAAGACCTGCCCTCCAGTCCAGGCAGCATCCTGGTAAATCTCCTCTGCACCCTCTCTAAAGCTCCCACATCCTTCCTATTATGAGGCAACCAGAACTGAATACAATATTCCAAGTGTGGTCTAACCAGGGTTTTATAGAGCTGCAGCATAACCTTGTGGCTCTTAAATTCAATTCCCCTGCCAATGAAAGCCAACATGCCATACGCTTTCTTAACAACCCTATCAACTTGGGTGGCAACTTTGAGAGATACGTGGACGTGGACCCCAAGATCCCTCTGTTCCTCCACACTGCCAAAAATCCTGCCATTAACCCTGTATTCTGCGTTCAAATTTGACCTTCCAAAATGAATCACTTCACAATTTAAATTTTCAACCTTCATATGCTTTTTGAATTTTACGCAGACTCCTGCTTCTAAAAAGGATTGAACGGGGAGACAGTTTGGTCTCCATCAGCACAGTTGTATTTTTCTGTTATTCGTTCATAAGATGTGGCCGTTGCTGGCTAGGCCAGCATTTACTGTCCATTCCTAATGGTCTTTGAGTAGATGGCGGTGCCACTCCAGTGGCTCTGGACCTGGTCTCCTACTCAATACTGCTCCTTGCCTTCAGACTTGGCTGGCCCAAGCCCCAAAAACCTTGATTCTCATTGGTGCTTGCTTCCTTCAACAGCCTCAAGTTCAGAGCTTGACCTCCAACCACCAAATAGGTCTGAGCTCCTCCTTTAAGTGGCAACAGGTCATGGCTTTCAATGTGTCTCTCTTGCAATCTGGCTTGGAGTCTACATTGCACTTGGTTTCCTCCTCTTGCTAAACTATTAAAACTCCAAAAATTATTGTAATTCGACTCATTTTCATTTTCATAAAGAGATTTTCTGCAATTTGGTTACTAAATAGCAGAAGAAAATTCAAACATTTTAATTTTCATTTAAACTCTAATTTAGCAGCATTAATGTGTATTAACTACTCCACTGTGTAAACAGACTCCTTTCTCAACCTAAACAGTTGCAAGGGCCAAAATTACTGTTCAATGCACATATTGTGTGTTGGTTCATAATATGCATGGTGCTAAATTTCAGAGGTGTTTTCTGACACAGTGTTAAAGCCTTGAAACGTTAAAAGTAATGTTAGAGATCCTGCAAATCCGAACTCGCTGCCGAGTCAGAATGATCTCAAATGACTATATATTTCAAAACGTCAGGGTGAGAAGTCTTAGTCCATTTTCTGAAGGCCAGAAACATTATTTGAGCTGAAGAAAAGATTGAATTTAGGTTCAAAGATATGAGTCAGAGTGAAGAATAAACAATAAGAAGGTTTCAGAAACGTAAAAGCTGATAAGTTTTGTGCAATTGTAAATGTTTTATTTCAGACATTTTCTGCTTCATGTGTGATGCACCCAAGATATGTAAACATTATGTAGAGTGTCTATCCATTTGATAATATAGATTAGCTGAAGTTAATGGATACAATGGGCCTACATTTATACTCTCATTTTGCCTGTATACAAAATTGATGTATAGTTCAACCTATTGAATATTGAACCTATGTAAATATGATCTTATATTTTTTGCATCTTATAGTACAAAACAGTGATATATTTTAGTTACAGGATAACTGCTTTTGTCGAATTCAATTGTCAGAGCTTCCTCTTACTATAAGAGGGTGGCTGAGCCAATAATTATAAATGCATAAAGGAATTTTTTTTTCTCACCCCTGAATCCAAAACAGTTATTTGGGCATTTTAGTGCCTTGTGATCCAGATTAATAAAAAATTTAAATATGGACAGTCATGCTCCAGAGTGATCTACCCATTGAGGAATCCCCAGCGCTACTGGCATATATTGTCCAGGATCCTATAGGGAAAGTTTATCTCAGCATACCTAAAATATTTTCATTATTTTAATGAATCTTTCAATTTATGTATTTTGATAGTCAGCGAAATCTGAATTTTGCTAAAATCGCTCTTTGATGATTACATAAAAATGTCAAATTTGACTCTGCATATGATTCAGCAAAAGGCAAGAAGATGCTGATACGGAGCTACAATTACATTGTAATCAATATCATTTTCACTATACAACATTTCATTTTCCTTATAGAGGACAGAATACAACTATAATGCTGCTTCTTACTGAGTACCAGTAGACTCAAACACTTTCTTTTATTCTCATGATCAGTATAGTCATGCGAGCTAGGAAAATGAATTCTCATTTTCAGTAACTAAATCTTAAACGCATTTCTTCCTCACTTTTAGGTCCCAATATAAAGGATAATTAATTGAGGATTTTGTCAACTGAATATATTTATTTCATAATTTAATGTTTTCCAGGTTGTGGGAGAATCTAAGCAATTGTTGTATGATTTTCCTTGGACCAATGTTGGCAAGCTTGTGTTTGTGGTAAGTTATAAAATCCATAACAGAACTTCTTTCCCCTTTAAACTATGAGGGAGAGAATCTGTACTTCCCAGATATTATTTTAGCTGAAAAGAGACAGTTGCTATATTGTTTTAACAGAACAGAATCGTTATCCACGCCTTACTTTGGCATCTTTCGAAGCTCCACAATAACAGATTTGGAATTTGTGTTACCAGCAAACAAACAAGTACACTCCTTTCAGCTTTATTGGAAACAGATTTTACAAACAGCATTCTTTTAAAAAAGAAAATACAATGTACGCTGTGAAATATCACCTTAGAGCCTTTGGTTGTGCTGGAGTGAAAATATACAAATGTGCATTGGAGGTGTTTTGTCAAAATATTTGCACCATTTTTGTGCTCATTATCATTGCTATTGGTCAAACCTAAGGAAGTAAAATAAAGCTGTACAATTAGATTATTACCCTTATTATAAAAACAGAAAATGCATAAAATATTCAGTAGGTATGGCAGCATCTGTGAAGAGAGGGTCACAGTTAATGTACTGGATTGAGACCTTTTCAAGAGTTCTCCTGAAAAGATAATCAGCCTGATATACCAACAATGTTTCTCTCTTCACAAATGCTGGCAGGGTTGCTGAGTACTTTCAGCATTTTGGATTTATATTTCAAATTTCCAGTGTCTGCAGAGCTTTGCTCTTGTCCACTTTTTAACCCTTTTCGCTGCTGACAATGAGGATCTGCACAGCACTGAATTAAAAACTTGTAATTATACTCCAGAACAGTGGAATGCATTTTGCTGTTTATTCTTTGCCAGATTCATAGAGAAATGAACAACTAATATTCATAATTTGATAACATACCTATGTTCATTGCATTTTTGCTGGTCTTTTTACTTCATTGAAGTGCATAGTATATCACAGGATAAAGGCAGATAAGGGAAACCATTTGGCTAATCCAGCCATACTTCCATATAAAAGCGTCATCCATTACCACACCACTTCATTGCCTTGTGAATGTCCCTGAGGTTTTACCTGCACTGAGGTAACATAACATACTTTGTGCTTTATGATATAATTCATAAACTGCCTTTTACCACATTATGCCTATGGACCCTTCTACAGTTTATAATCCTATCGCTCCCCATGCACGTACAAACAAAGTTGAATTGAGCTTGTGTTTTTGATATAATTATACAGAAGATACATGCAAGCAAGTTTAGCATGTGTTTGTTTACAATGATTGCATAAATGCTAAATTTGAAGTACACGTAATTCGAAATGTCACAACTCAACAGGGTCAGTTCAATAGCAGGCTGAAAACGTGACTGTCATAAGATTAATGCGTCATTTCATGTTTTCAATATTTAGCCTAAAATATTTGCGTGAATGAGTCTGAGCTCAGAATTAATGGTAATTATAACCTGTTACATCTGCTCTAATGATCAAACCGAAGTAAATAATTGCCTCCCATACAAAGGAATGCAGAATTTATAATCTTGTATCTTAAAATTAGTGGTGACATTCTTTGTATTTAAATACCAAGCTGCAAACCATTTTACTAATTTGACCAGCTGGCAGTTTTTGGTGCAGAAAATCATCATCACAGAGCTGCCAGTAAAAGCACAACTGTGAAGATTTCAAAACCTGCGTGACACTGTGATTTGAGAAAAATTGCTGTTCATCTCCCTACATCTGCTTAGAGTGCTGCCAAGATTTTATTCCCACGGTCTGAAAAATAATCCCCTTCTTCACATACACTGTGAAAGATGCGTGTTCGCATTAAGAATAGTTTACTTTGTCCATTTTTTTTCCTTGATGGCAGCTAATATAGATAGAAGAAACTTTTCTGGCATGTACCAATTTGGGACCAATTTTTAACTCTTGAAAACGAGTAGGTTTTGATGGTTTAAAGTTGGGCACATGGTGTTGGAATGTGTTGACTTTAGGATTCTTACTTGAACTGTCCCTGACAGACTATTTCAACTCTATTCTCTCGGACAGGAATTTTGGACAGCATTGATCAACAGATGTTCTTTTTGTAGTGAATAGGGAGGGGATGTTGACCTCAGTCCAGAGGGTGAATCATTACACTTCTCAAAATCTTTTCATTATTTCTGCTTTCACTTAAGACTTTTTGTGTTCAGGGAGAGCAGAAACTGAGCATTTTCTGTTGATTATTGTATTCTGAATTTACAAGATCTTAGCCATCTGATGTCAGCAAATACCATATTATTTTCATCCTGCTCACATATTCTGATTGAAGCCAAACATCTGCAATGCTGACTGAAAAGCAGAAGAGCCACAGAACAGACCGAGGCCCGGATTCACCCGGTCGCTCCCTGCCTGCGCCGAGGCCCGGATTCACCCGGTCGCTCCCTGCCTGCGCCGAGGCCCGGATTCACCCGGTCGCTCCCTGCCTGCACTGTTAGTATCCATAGGGCCTCACAAAAGACAGAATCTCTGTCTGTACATTACCAGATAATCAAAATGCAAAATACCGTGCATGCTGGAAACTGAAAAGAAGAATGAAAAGTTCTGGAAATATTCAACATCAATTGCAGAGGGTAACACTGTTATGGTTTTAGCCTGATAATTCTTAATGAGATTTAGAATAAGATGATCCACATTAGATGACTAAAAACAGGGAAGCACAACCAAAGGTTTTTATTAAATCTAGCGTCTTGGAGGCCTTATGTTGAAGTACCAGCTGGTACACTCACACATGCCTTTTGGTCTGACTCACTAGAATTTATTGTTGGTCTAGTTTTCTAACCATTTTTGATCACATAGGAAGCTGCCTCAAGCTATCAGTTAAGTATTTCAAAACTTTTACAATCAGTTGATGAATTAAGTTTAAAAAAAGTCTCTCTTCAGTTCACTTAACTGATGTTCACTGAGACTTTGACAGAGGTCAGTGACTATCTACTCATGGTTACTTCAGGCCATTAAAACAAACATTTAACTGCAAGCATGTGAGTTATCGTTGAATCCAATATAACTTCTTCAGAATTCAAAATAATTCAAACAATCTGCTCCTTGGTTTCATTCTCTTTCAAACTAACGTTTAGCTCAGTAAGGAGCCTTGTACCATTTGTTTTTAACTCTTTCCCCTCTGCTGAGGCACCTGGCACTTTCCTTCAGAGAATGGTTGAGGTCAGAGGCTGTATATATGAGAAATAAATACCCTGAATTTGTAAGAGTGGATGTTAATACTCAAATGTCATACGACAATTCTGAAAGTATTATTATAATGTGTTCAATGTTAATGGAATGTCTTATTTCAAATTCACATGACATAAAAAACAAAATTGCTGCAAAAGCTCAGCAGGTCTGGCAGCATCTGTGGAGGAAGAAACAGAGTTAACATTTCGGGTCCGGTGACCCTTCCTCAGTTCTGCTGAACTTTTCCGACAACTTTATTTTTGTTCCTGATTCACAGCATCCACAGTTCTTTCGGTTCAAATTCATATGAATTTGACTAACGAATTGTCCACTGAAGATGTTGAATCTGAAGTAGGTCAAAGCATTTGCATGTGCAACAGATATTATGGCAACATTTTACTGTTAGATCCATATAAAGTCTTGCCAAACAAAGCTTTCTTGCTGCAAATTGATAGATTCCTAAAAGACAACAGTGCCAAAATAAAGTCCAAGGTAATAATTCTCTCTCTCAGTATTTCCATTTTATATCTCAGGATAGTGTGAAATTTGACATCTTCAGATTTTCAAGTTCCATAGGAATGATTGAGTCAAACATTCACTTCTAAGAAAACTTTTTTGGTCACCATACACATCCAGAGTTAAATTGCCACAAATTTCCTTAAAAATTAGAGAATTTTTGGCTTCAGGTTTAAAATCCTGTTGCAGGATTTGTTCTGTGTTATGTTTCTTGCTTATGGTGCAGATTTTGTCCTTTTCTTTACAGGGAAAGAAGTTTGAGATTCTGCCAGATGGCCTCCCTTCAGCTAGAAAACTTATTTACTACACTGGCTGTCCTATGCGCTCAAGGCACCTACTCCAGCTACTCAGTAACAGCCATCGTCTCTATATGAACCTGCAGCCAGTCCTGCGACAAGTCAGGAAACTGGAAGAGAATGAAGGTATTTTTGAAACCTCGAGTACTGGTGTAACCTAATGGATTCTGAATTTGCACTGAAATCAAATGCTTTGTTTACACCAAAGCTGCTGGGCTGCTGTCATTGTTTCCTCAGTTCTGCCAGGGGAGTTGTGATTTATAGCATGTCCCTCTTTTTCTCTGAGGCATGATGCTATCTTTAGTGGCCTAATGAGATCTCCCCAATAACTTGGACTCCATATTATCGGAAATAACTCTCCTAAATAGTACAGCAAAGCCTGTGATATTATAGTTGAAAATTTGATTGAAAATTAGAGTAGGAAGAAGTAATATGATTGA